AATAATAATAATAATAATAATAATAATAACAGATAGCATTTGTGTGATGCGCCAATTCACGCTCTACAGCAAGTTCTTACATACAAAATTGGAAAAAGGAGGAGAGATAATGACGATGGATGTCTGATAATTAAAAAAAAGAGCAAACCACATCAGACTGCCCGCCAACCACTCACATGGATCAAACAGAAAAACATCTCCTCTATCGGGACAACACAAAAATTGATAAATATCTATATACATAATAACATACGGAATCTAAACTGACAGTTTGCGTATTTAACAAAACATAAAAGCTCTATAGGCCTACAAACAACAGTAAGAACAACAAAATATCGTTTTGCCCTGAAAATGACAAGAGCTACCCCTATGCCTGTCCAGTTCAGCAGGGCCCAGTTATTGATCGGGAGCTTCGGATGACCCGACTAGCACCAGAACGGACAAAAACCTTTAGGCGTCCCGTTGAAAATAAGAATAATGAAGAGTCTGATCTGGACGGTAATGATTTACGGTGTTAAAAAAAAGGAACCTTTAAAAATAAAAGAAAAGTGAGGTGAAGGAGCCCCCTCAGCCGGTATCATCAGAGAATTTTACAGTAATGTTACTGTAAACCCTCTCTGGTATCATACTGGGGTATGGAGAAGATAGTCCTGGCTTGAATCCCAAAAGGGGCATTCTTGAACGTGGGTTGATTGCTTTTGTTTTGTTTGTGTTTTGTTTTGTTGGTTTTTTTGTTGGGGGGTTTTCGGGGGGGGGGGGGTGTTAAGACTTTCAAACAATTGTTTCGATTAGTACTACCGGGGATAGACGTTAAATTTGGAGATCCTGCCTCTTATATAACCTCACAGTGTAGACGAGGGCATTAAATCTAAACAACAACAACAACAACAACAACAACAACAACAACAACAACAACAACAACAACAGAAGAGTGAAGTAGAACTCGCGTGTTACGGTGCTTTTAACACAGGTTGGTCCGTTAAGCATCATATAAGGCAAAGGGTATTCCGCAATACATGCAATTACTGAGACTTCAAACTTTTTTAACAACGACATCGGGTGACTTTGGAGAAAAAAAACCTTCACACTCAACTAAAAACAAAACGAAAACAAAAACAAAAACAGAATATAAGGATGCGTACGTTTTCTTTTCATAAAACAAAACGATTCAGCTATCTGCTTTTTTTTTTTAACGGTCAACTTGGACCTCTGCATTAATGCAGAATTGGCCTTCACACCAGAATACATTATTGCAGAAAAAGAAAGGGGTATGGGGAAAGGGGTGGGGAAGGTTGGAGGAGAGAGAGAGAGAGAGAGAGAGAGAGAGAGAGAGAG